CCCGCCCAGCCAGTGTCCCCTTTCCTAGATGCTGTAGGGTGTGGAGGAGGCTGGGGGCATGCCCCTCCTGGTCCTGCACTGGCTGGGGGTGTGCAGCTCAGTCACCAGTGCCCTTCTTCCCCTGCCCCCAGAAACATGCGCTGATGGAGCAGGTGGCCCACCAGACCATTGTCATGCAGTTCATCCTGGAATTGGCCAAGAGCCTCAAGGTGGATCCCAGGGCTTGCTTCAGGCAGTTCTTCACCAAGATCAAGGTGAGCTCAGCTCTGCTCCCTTTCATTGTCTACTGTAATGGGGGGTTCTGCTCCCTTGTCCAACGCTGAGGGACTGCGGAGCTTACAGCTAGGGGTGTCCAGGCCACCCCAGGGCCACCCCCCTCCCACTGGCCCACTGGGCTGAGCACCTGGCTCACTGGGCCTGGGGCCTGGTTTTGCCTCTGATCTGGTACCATGTGGTGGCCCCCTGCCCCCCTCCTTCCCATGTGCCTCACCTGTGGGGAGGATGTGGCCAGTCACCCTCTCTGGGCAGCCCTTGTCCTCCATACTCAGTCCCTCTTGGCCACTGCTTCCCAGGCACCCCGAGCACAAGCACTGCATTGGACCTCATGGTTTTGCTGCCTGAGCCCCTGCACTGGTACCTGGCAAGGCTCTTGGGAGGTGGTTTTGAGTGGAAGGAGCATGAGGGATGATGGCAGAGGCTGCCTGTTAGCCCTTGCATTCGCTCCCCTGACCTGCTGCCTCTGTTGCCTGCAGACAGCTGACCAGCAGTACATGGAGGGCTTCAATGATGAGCTGGAAGCCTTCAAGGAGCGGGTACGAGGCCGTGCCAAGGTGCGCATCGAGAAAGCCATGAAAGAGTATGAGGAGGAGGAGCGGCAGAAGCGGCTGGGCCCTGGTGGGCTCGACCCTGTGGAGGTCTACGAGTCACTACCTTCCGTGAGTCATGCAATGCCTGCACCCGTGTCCCCCTGGGCTCTGTTCCCACCCGCCCCATCTCCTGGCCTCCTGTCCTCTGCTACCTGCTGTGTCTCGTCACCCCCCCCTTGGTTTTTCCTGGGGTTCTTTGAGTGGGGCGGGGCTGAGCCTGCCACTCACGTGGGGAAGCTGAGGCACTGAGGTCCCTGGGCTCTGCCCAAGATCACACGGGCAGTCAGTGGCAGAGCAGGACTTGAACTTGGCCCTGCCAGCCCGTGGTCTGCAGTGGACGGGGACCCATGCCCAGAAGTCTAGGCTGAGGCAGAGGCACATAAGGCCCCTGCACATGTGCCCCATTCTGGGCCTCATGTCCTAGCCAAGCTGGGGCTTGAGGTAGGAGCTGCTAAAATGCTTGGCATCAAGGCAAGACTCTGCCCTCCAGGCCTGGGCTCCCTTCAGGGCCTGCAGGAAGCAGCTCTTCTTCCCCTTATCATTGTCCTGCCTCCCCCCAGGAGCTGCAGAAGTGTTTTGACGTAAAGGATGTCCAGATGCTTCAGGATACCATCAGCAAGATGGACCCCACTGTGAGTACCCCAAGGCCTCTGGGTGTCCAGCTCCAGGCAGCCTGTGTCTGCCTGTTGTGACCAGTCCGCTCCAGGTCCCCTCAACGTGTGCAGCTGTGGGAAGAAGTCAGGTTCTTTTTGTGGGGGTGGGAGTGGGCAGCTGGGCCTGGAAGGGGCAGGGCGGGTGTTAGGAGCTGGGACAGGGACCTGACCCTGAGCAGCCCCTTCCCCTTGCAGGAAGCTAAGTACCACATGCAGCGTTGCATTGACTCTGGGCTGTGGGTGCCGAATGCAAAGGCGACAGAGGGTGCGGAGAAGGGCAGCGCCGAAGCTGAGCCCGTCTACGAGGAGTTGGCGAAGGAGGGCGGCGAGGAGGAGAAGTGAGGAAAGGTGTGAAGTGGGATGTCCTGCTCCACCCCCATGGCTCCAACCCCCCTCGCACCAACCCCCCGCGACACGCGCTTGACATGCGTAGACGCTGGTGAATGTGTGAGCTGCTCACTTGCTGGTGCCCGGTGTCCCGCTCCCCCCACCAACCCCTGGGAGCCAGCGGGAACCCCTGCTCTAGGCGCCGGGCAGTCCCTGGCGCTACAGGAGCCTGCGGGAACTTATCACCACCCCTCAGGCTGGGGGGTGCTGCTCCGGCGATGCCCTTGGCACCATAGTTACACGTGTGCTGTTGTCTCTCTTCTCGCAGTCACCGATGAGGTTGTTACCTGAATAAAGAGATTGAAGTAGCTATCTGGCGCCTAGACTGGGAACAGGGGGAATCCAGTGTACTGGGCTGGGCTTGTAGCTGCTCAGGGCAGCTGGATGCAGAAGTGTTGGCCCCAGGAGTGTCTTCTGGTGGGGGTGGGAGTGGGACCTGCAGGAGCTGGGACCAACCTCTGAGGCATGACATGGGGTCTGCTCAGCACCTACTGGGTTTCTGTACCTCAACCAGCTGCGTGGGCAGTCCCATGCCAGGGTCTGTATCTTCAGTCGGCCATGGGGAGTTGCTGTTTCCTGGCCCTGTGGCTGCACTGTGCTTTTGGAGGAGGCATTGACTGTCTGCTTCCCTGAGGCTTCTGGCAGGGTAGGCAGCTCAGTGCCTAGTGCCTCTTATTTCCTGAGCTGCCGCGTGTACTACCTAGCATCTACTTCAACCATGCTGATCTGCCCCTAACCTGGGCGGCAGCTCTGCCTTGGTGCAGCTGGCACTGTCAGCCTCCAAGCCACTAGCCAGGCGATAGCCCAGATCAGAGCCTTCTTGCAAGCCCAGATCAGAGCTGTGCTTGCACAGGGCTCCTTTGACTCTGGGAGTTTGTGTACCTAACGCTGACACTTTGCAGCTGTTGAATGCGAGCACATGCTGGGTACAGCTGCAGGGGCGGGCTGAAAAACCTTCCTGGAGGAGACTTGGCTCTGTGTGCTTAATGGGGAACTGGCCCCTCCACACTGCCCATAAATGCTTCCTGTGCCAGCTGTGCATGGCCTTGGCTCCCCTACTGAGCATCCGTCTTCCTTCCCTGGCCTTGCAGGGCATGAGAGAAAAGGAAGATTGGGAAATCACGGAGGTGAAGATTTACAGAGGTGAAGAACTCATGGGGTTGCATCAGGCAGCCCAGTTCCAGTTCTGTAGGAGCAGGTTCCAGCCTGCTCCAAGAGCATTCACCATTTCTTTGCTTGGGTAAGTGCTTTGGGTTAGAGGTTTACCAGGGAGAGCCATGTACTGGCTCCCTATCCCTAGAGACCCAAGTGTGGAAGTTTTGGCTGGAGGATTCTTACCAGCATGTGGGCATGGGGAGTTATCGGAGCAACTGGGAGCTGGATCCCAGTCTCATGAATCAAAATTAGGGTTGGAAGGCACCTCAGGAGGTCATCTAGCTCAACCCCTTGCTCAAAGCAGGACTATCCCCAACTGTATCATCCTAGCCAAGCTTTGTCTAACTAGGTCTTAAAAACATCCAAGAATGGAGATTCAACAACCCCTCTGGGTAACCTGTTCCAGTATTTTACTACCCTACTACTGAGAAAATTCTTCCTAATATCTAATCTAAACTTCTCTTGCTGCAACTCCAGACCATTGTTCATTGTTCTGTCATCTGCCACTACTGAGAACAGTCTAGCTCCATCCTCTTTTGAATCCCCTTCAGTTAGATGAAGGCTGCTATTAAATCCCCCTTCAATTTTTTTTCTCTAGACTAAATAAACCCAGTTCCCTCAGCCTCTCTTCATAAGTCGTGTGCCCTAGCCGCCTCACCATTTTCATTATCCTCTGCTGGACTCTCTCCAATCTGTCTACATCCTTTCAGTTTTGGACCTCCTACTACAGAATGCAGGACTCCAGATGTGGCCTCACCAGTGCTGGGTAGAGGGGAAGAATCACTTCCCTTCTCTGCTGGCAACACACCTACCAATGCAGCCCAGTATGCCATTAGCCTTGGCAGTAAAGGTGCACTGTTAGTTCATATTCAGCTTATTGCCTGTCCACTGTAACTCCCAGGTCCTTTTCTGCAGAGCTGCTGCCCAGCCAGTCAGCCCCTGCTCCAAGCTGGAGCAAGTAGCCTCCCCTTTGCTCTCCCCCCTTCCCATCCAGCTCCCCTGCCTTTTCCTTGGCTCTCCCTGTGTTGCTATAACCTCCTTTGTGTGTGCCCTCCTTTCAGCTCCTTTCATTTCTCTGCCCACATATGTTTCTGCAGGGCTCCCTGCCAGCAAGAAGCTGCATGGCAGGCTCTGTGGGCAATGGTGAAAGCCCTTTGTGCTGTTCACAAGAAGCTGTGGATCAGCTGGGCTCAGGGAGGAGGGTGGAAGTGGCAGGCATAGGAAACCTTGTAGAGTTTAGACCTTGCCTGGTGCAGGCCCATGTTTCATAGTAGTTTGGGGTCAGAAGGGACCTGAACAGATCATCTAGTCTGACCCCCTGCCACTGGCAGGAGCACACGCTGGGATCACATGACCCCAGACAGGTGTTCATCCAACTTCTTTTTGGACACCAAAGTAGAACCTGTCTTGCTTGCTGTTCCCTTGTACGGAGGCCTGCTCCCTGCCTTGGGCTCCTATCTTCACTCCCTGCTGAATAAGCACAGAAGAGAAGCAGGGTCTGAGTGGAAAATTAGAGGCACCTGTTGTAGACACTGCCTGAATGGGCCTGTCTTGAAACTGCTCTTAGGAGGGAAGGGCAGATAGGAGATAGCAGCCAAAGCCTTTAAGGAGCAGCCCAAGGTCACCTGACAAGCAGGGGCTGGGACAGAAAGAAGCAGGAGTGAGGGACATGCCAACCTGCCAGTGCCTGGCAACCAAGGGTGCAGAGGCCTCTGTCTCTGGTGGGAGGGAACAGAGTAAGAGCAGGGCCAGGGTGTAGGTTCCACCAGGTCTATTAATGGGCATCTTTGCACAGGCAGAGATGGGTAATTGTGTTTCTTTGGTAAATGTCCACAGTGGAGGAGTAGAGTGGGACCCAGCTGCATTGCAATCCAGCCTCTGGGTTTCTCCATGAAGCTGCCACATGTTGGGGGGGGGGGGGTTAAGAACAGCTCAGTTACCCAGCACTCGTGAGCAGGGCAGGGCTCAGTTTGGGTGGATAGCTTTCTGGCTGGGAACTTGGGAAGGGTAAGTGTTGCCCACCGGGGCTTTTCCCGGAGGCAGTGGGCTCTCCCGGGAGAGTGGGGCATGCCACAGGGCTTTGTGTTGTCCTCCTTTTCCTCAGCCTGGATTCCCTCATCCTAAGGTGCTAGGGTTACGGTTAGGCTGGGCGCCTCGTGTGAGATGTCTGGCAGAACAAATTGGTGTCTTTAATGTAGCTACGAGCACTGCCTTGGTGGGGGTAACCCAAGAGTCGCCATCGGGTGCTGGAAAGGTTCCAGGCTGCTGCCTCCGAGACGTTCCAGCGGTGCGCAGCGATGGACGGCTTGGCACGACTCTGCCCAGGTGCGCCTAGTGCAGAACCTACCCTGGCCTTGAGTGCCAGACTAGTGCCCGTCTCGGGGGACCCAGCCTCACTCCACAGAGGCGGCAGACAGGCTCCGCAGCCGATTGTCCTGCCCTACCCTAGCGCAGCGAGCAGAGTGGGACCTTCTTGCTCTCCAGCTGTGCGTGCACGGAGCACCCCAGTCCAGCTGCGCTGTAGGTGTGCGCATGCCTCTGAGCCAGCTGTACCAGGGCCTGCCCAGATGTGTCCACGCCCCGCCCCCTCAGCCACACCATGGCCAATCCGGACGTGCGATGCCCGCCCCGCCGCCAATGGTCGATCACTCGCGCTCCTTCGCGGGGCGTGGCGTCCCCCTCCTCC